AATTTTGGGCAGGCAGGGGACGAGGCCCGGGTTTGAGTCAAGCGAGTTTCTGTCTCGCAGCCTGGAGGCTGCTGGGCATGCCTTCGTCCGTTGGGGTCAGGACGGGTGGTGGACCAAAGCAGACATGGCGTGCAATATTTTCAAGGAGAAACTTACTGACCACGTGCCGCCCTCGGACCCCACGGTGGCGATGGGGAACAAAACGGGGCAAAGTGAATCCTGCTGGCGAGACACAACGTGCTCGCGTTCGGATCTGATGCTGCGCATGGACACGCTGAGGGGAGAGGGACCGGAAACTCCTCAAGTGGACGCGGTGGGGCTCCTGAAGGCCCCAAACATGTCATCATTGTCGGTTCCTGCCGTTTCCGTCCTCCTCATCCTTGTCCTCCATACTACCGTCTTCGTCGTCGCTCCATTCTTCTCCGTCATCCGCCTGCTATTGCTCCTCCTCCACCTCCCACCTCCATCGTCATCCTCTTCCCTCGTGTCTTTCCTCCTTCTCCACATTCTCCTCCACATCCTCATCCTAAGAAAAAGGACGGCAGGCTCAGCAGTTCCACTCCTGTGTATACTCAGACCGATTCTGAACTCGGGCTTGACGGCGGCCTCACCTGGCTTCTCCACTGGATGTTCGTACGCGTCACCGATCAGGGCAATTCGCATAGATATCGTCTCTGGATTGGCTCGTGGGGATACTTTTTCGGTCGCGTCCGCTAGCGGAGGCGCTAGCGGAGTCAGAAGCGCTAAGGGTCACGACAGCAGGTCTCGTGAGGATACTTTTTTGGTCGGCGGCTCCGAGGCGGCGGACAGGGAGCGGAAGGCGTCGTCTGGGCCAGCAGGCGAGGCGAATTAGCTACAACAGGCAACTCACCTGCAGTAATAATCCGCAAAGAATGCGAGGTCTGTACATGCATTGAGCAAAATGCTCCACATTAAGGCGAACGCACGTAGGATTCGTGAGGACACTTTTTTGGTTCGCGGCTCCAAGGCGAGGGACTTGAAGCGGGTCAACGTCCGGGGCGCGGAACGAAGATAATTGGCCGCAGTGGCGTGTGCACATGCCAGGGACAAGATGACCCTCATTGAGACGCCAGCGGCGTCGGCAGGTGACCGGCACAGACATCCCAGCAGGTGGGGACGCCACGGCGCGGCGACCGGCGGCGGAACGGGGGGGAGAAGTCGCCCTTTCGGCGCCAAGCTCCAGCCGAACCACAAACAGGGGCGGGGCCAAAATGGACGGCGCGGCGCAGAAAGAGGATCCGAATGGCCACTGGCCAAGCGAAACCAACTCGTGAGGATACGCGCAGCGTCAAGAAGTACCGTGGCGGAGGAAGGACCAGCGCTATGACGATTGGCCACTAGTGTTTGATACATTTCTTTAGTTATGGATCGATGTAGAAGTAGCCCATGGATGTGTCGACAACGATAATTATGTTTGGCTGCCCTCTCCGCCGCCCAGGCAATTGTGTCCGCCTCGCTCCTTCGGCTCTGCTTTCCTTCGTCCAGGCCGTTCCCCCTGCAGTGAAAACGTATAGTAAGGACGCGTGGTAAGGACGCAAGACCCTTGGAGGCCGAAGTTGAAGTATTCTGGCCTGCGAAAATTGCTAGGGACGAGCCGCAGAGGCTGAGGCAGGCAAGGACCCAAGGGCACCCTTGAAAAAGTCGTTTGTCCTTACTATGCGCGTTGACTGTGCTCCTTCCCTCCCCCCCTCGTGCGTGGCATCCTTCGCCCACACGGCTGCCTCCTAGGCGAACGGGGGCGGGGTGGGGGGGCCACGCCCACGGGAGATCTGGCTGAGGTGGAAAGGTGGGTCTGGACGCCCGTGCATCAATACGGAGCGGCGTGCCAGTCCGGGCGCGCAGATGCTCGCCACGGTTCGCTGCGATAGTGATCAAAAAAACAGTGCAAAGTCGCATACAACTCACAAGAACCACGAACACACACACACAAACAAACAAACAACGCAAAACATCAAACAACAATGACCAAGCAGGACATCAAACGGAAACTGCATCAAGAAATTAAGCTGGAACATTGAGCAGGAAACTCAACGGAAAAAAACAAGCAGGAAAATACGCAGGAAAAGTACATAGGAAAGATAAACAGGAAAGCGAGCAGGAAATTAAACAGGAAAAACAAAGAATTACGCAGGAGGATTACGCATTTAAAGGACGGGTGAGCAGGCAATTGGGCATGAAGAGTTAAGCAGGGATAAGCAGGCAAGTTAAGCAGCAAATTAGTCAGGAAAAGTAGACAGGGAATTCAGCAGGAAAAATAGCCAGGAAATTAAGCAAGGAAACGAAGCAGGAAACTTTAGCAGGAAATTACGCTGGCGAATTAATCAGGAAATGAAACAGGAAATTGAGAAGAAAAATTAAGCGGGAAATTGAGCAGGGAAAGTAATAAGGGAATGAAGCAGGCAAATTGCACAACAATTGAGCCCGTGGCCTTCTCGGAAATATAATCACCTTTTATTTACAATAATGCTCTAAATGTCCA